CAAGAAAGAACTATTAACAAATCCTGAAAGAGAGGATATGACAGATGGGTGTGGCAAAAGGAGTCTGATTTTCTATTTGATGGCTCTGTAACCAAACAAGGTTGAAGACTATAAAAATTGTTTTGTCTGAGTGATGACGATTTGATAATGAATACTTTACGATAAATTTCGTATTTATTGGAGGGGAGATTAATAAATTATGGAAGAGAGGATGCCTAAAGAAAAAATTCACATTCTTCACACTAGGGGAAATTGAGGATTTCTTTTTTAATATTGTCTCATAAAATCAAGAACCTAAAACTTGTATACTATTAAAATATGGATTATTTTATGCTATACTAATTGGTATAGCATAAACAAAAAGTTGTTTAATTAAATTTTGAATGTAAGTCACTAAATACCTTGTGAAATATGCAGTAAAGGATGCCTGTTGTGAAAGGGCTAATGCAACTGCATTGTTTAACCTTTAGAAATGATAAAAGATTTATTCACTTATTACCAACTGGACCTCTCACCTAGATCTGTGCCTACTTATACAACAATAAATATTACACTTATTAATTACCCCAAAAAAATGTAGGGGTGGTTCAGACTGCCTGGACCTTTCCCATAGATCTACTACTGTATACACAACATTCAAGAATACATCTACAGACTTATAAGTTAGAAATAAAACACAATGTAAAAAACTGGTAAATATACACTTCGTATAATACTTAAGTAGCTAATGAGTTGATAGTGGGTATTGCCAGCCAATTGCATCCTTTATAGTCAGCCTTAGTAACTTTATTAGAACAAAGACAGGAAAAGCAAGTATGGTGGAAATCAGAATTGAGTCCACATGAACCCTCGCCGAATCACCAGGCCATACTGGCTCAAAGCTGAAAAAAACTTAAGTTTGGGTTTGATAGCCCCAGTAAGCAGAGCAGAGGTAGCCCATTATGTAGTTTTGTACTTAACAACAGACAAATATTTAGAAGCATTATTTCATTTACTTGAATAATTGGAATAATTGCAAACTCCAATTTCGTTTAGTTGATTATTCTTGTGACAATCAACTTAGTTGTGATTTCAATTAATCAATTAGTTTAAATGTAAACACTAACTGATTTAAGTGATGCTCATACATAATTGATTAGGTCATCCAGCTCTATTTGTCTGGTTAGATTGTTTATTGTGTGGGATCTGTAATGAGACAAGATTTGGTTGCTGGTGTTAGCTGAATGATCCTATTTTAAGCTTTTTTAATTATTCATATGTGAGACACTTGGGTGTTAAACAAAGGTTATATATATTTTGTAAAAATATTTGTCATTGGTATAGTAATATGCAAAGCCAAAAACACTTGTTAAAATTTCTAAAGTTTAGAACTGATATCCAAGCAGTGACCCATAGAATGCATGTGATTATATAATTGCAAAATTTACATTGATAGTTTTGGTAGTGAAATAACATGATAATGTAAGATTAAAGGTAAAACAAAACTGATGATACATGTCATGAAAATTCTGTGTTTATAGGTATAGTAAAATATATCAGACAGAGGATTTATGATTATTTCCTTCAAAATTCTGGAACTCGGTATTGTGATAAAAATGCTTTTATTATGCTAGTATAATATATGGGCGTATCATGAATTTTATAACTTCCACAGTAAAATCAACATTTTTATAAGTATTGGTTATTTAGTTTTTGCACTGTCATGGAAGCAACATGTGATTCACAAAGTCATTAACTTTGGTTTATTCTAGTTGCTTTGATTTTTGTCCTTTGAATAGGTGATATCTCTTCCCACAGGGATGTTTCAGTATTATATGTATAATCTGATTTGAATGGGTTAGAACTGAGATATCCTTGGCTGGCCAGTTATGACATTGACTGAAAGTAATAGGTGACCTTTGTTGTTAGAAAGAGATGATGACATTTACTGGACAAAGAAAGTAAGCTAATATTCTGTATTCCAGTGTGCTTTCTTAGTTCAGTACTCCACTGGTCAATCGATAAGAAGGAACTGCATTCTTTTTTTTTTTGGAAGATCATCATGTTTGGCTGTGTTGTATCTGATTCCAAGAGAAAAGAAGTAACAAGGCTAAACACCAATGAGAAGAGAAAGGACTGTCCTATCTTATAATATGCAAGCTCTTTCAGTGTTGTTTTTTTGTTTATTAATACAATAAAGATTTTTTAGTCATTTGATTAATATAGTTGGCTTGTCTCTATTATATTTTTTAAGAGAAAACAGCCAATCCTCAAGAACACTCAATAGTCCTGAGCTGGGTTTACTTGTCTGATATTTGTAGTGAAATTGGTCTCTTGTACCACACTAGTAATTTCTGTTAAAAAATTTGTTTATTTATTTAAAGTATTGCTTCTAAAAATATTTTAGTGTTAGGTAAACCTCGGAGCAATAGTGCAGTACCTAGGGTGGTTTATCAAAAAATATATACACAGTAAAATATAAGTTAAGTATTCATGAAACTGAACCAAAGTACATGCACGAAGTAATTTTAGTAATCATAAGTAAAATTAAAGAATGGAATTTAGAAACTTTTGGCCACTGATCTCCATGCATAGTAGTAAATAAATTTTCCTTAGTAATAGTTTTGTAATTATGAAAATAATGTTAAGATATTTTTATGTGTTTATTACTTAATATTTTCAGTGTCACATGCAGAAATGGTCTAACTGTAAAGAGTAGGAGAGCTTTTTTTTTTTTTCTTGAGTCAACAGCTTCTAAAATAACTTCTTTAATGAATAATGCTGTAGCAGAAGAGAGTTTTATACTGGGAATTAAATGTTGTTTGTGGATTCTTTAGAGGCAGAAATTATTGTAGCCACAACTCGAATTGAAACAATGTTGGGTGATACTGCTGTTGCTGTGCATCCAAAAGATAATCGCTACAATCATGTTCATGGCAAATTTGTTGTCCACCCATTTTGTAATCGACGGTTGCCCATTGTTTGTGATGAATTTGTTGATATGGAGTTTGGTACAGGTTAGTTCTTTTTTTTATAGATTACATTTGTTGTTTATTCTATTAAATTTTACCAAAAATATTCCATGTAATATGTAAAATGCTTGAAAGTAGTGATTTTTTAGGACAAATATATTTAGAAACTGTTTATAATATAGCATAATGTTTAGGGACAACAAGGGATCTATTGGTTCATCTCGGCTGTCCCATACTCCAAACTAAACTAAATGAATGAATTAATTAAATGAATCAATTTTTCTAAAGATTTGTTAGTGAATATATCGAGTCTGTCATGTTAAACTTATATTAAAGTTTTTCTTCATTACCCATTTAAGCCGTCTCCAGCCATTATTATATCGAGTCTGTTACGTTACTAGTCTGAGTGGAATGGATTTTCATGTTATGATTAAAAATACTATTCTTCATCCCCAAAATCTCAAATTTCTTTTGTGTAATCTTTAAAACTTCCTAAATACATTTCAAACATTTGTTTTCAGTAAAACTATATCTTATCAGTTATTTAATGATGTACTTGAGTCTTCAGCCTGTAGACAATTCCCGAAAGTATAATGAAAAGACAAGTTGTAAAATTAGAAATAAAAGGAGCAGTTGTGCCTTTTTTTTGTTATTATTGGTCACAAAATTTCAAAGTATTTCTCTTATGAATTGAACTGTTAAACATTTCACATTTATTTTCTGTGTTTATTTCACTGTCAACAACTAAAGTAGAACCCTGCTGAAAATAAACCAATAATAAATTGCCACTTGTGTCAGTAGACTGTTTACGTGACACCACCGTAATACAATACTCTTGAAAGCAACAAAACATGCATGAAAAGATAGGCGACTTGACACCTGCTCGGAGAGCAGGATGTCTAATATATTGAGATATATATGATAAGATGTTTTCTTGGAAAATTCAGAGTAATCACACTGCACTTAGAATCAGTGAAAACATTTATGCCGACAACAGGATGTGTAATTTATCAGCTTGTGTATGTATCCTACTGTGTTCACAACAGGAATTTTTGAAAGTAACAATACTGCACTTTGAACCTGCCAAAATATTTATTATGTGGTTTGGTGTTGATACAATAAACGTTGCAATTCTCTGAATATTGGTAATCCGTTTGGGTGTTTGGAATTTGGTGGCATAGGTGTACGAAGATGTTATTTGAGCACATGCTTATAAAATCCTATTTCTCTTTTCAGCACTTATTCGTCAACCAATAAAAAAAATTTAGTTTCGGTACTACTTATCACACTCTTTTATAAGTCTAGTCTTTGGAAAACATTCTTAGTGTAGTTTAGAAGTTACCTTACATTTGTGAAAACACCTTGAGTTGTTACTCACTCTTACCTTGAAGTAATAATCATTTATAATATATATACATAATCAAGGTACAGAATCAAATACAAAGTACAAATCTAACTGTATTACCAATATTTTGCTAACTAATCCAGTATTTTAGCTAACATACATTACATACATACATACATACATACATACATACATACATACATACATACATACATACATGTATATTTACTCATAATTGCTTAAATTTTGTTTATTTTTCTTAAAACATGAACAGTAGATGAAAAATGCATAGAAAAACAATGATTTCTAGTACTTGCAATAAATTATGGTGATAGGAAAATATTTTGCCCTCATGTGCCTTTAGTGCTAAGCCGCGTTTATTTTTTCGAGTGGAAGGTGAAGAAATATAATTTTTGTAGGCTTCAAATATACATTTGAGAAAGAAAAAATATATATTACATTCCCCAATAGTACACCCAAAACATCTGTAACTTGCTTGGGTTTATAAATATATATGTGTTTAAAAAAATTTTATCTGTTCAGAGCAACAACTTGGTCATCACCATTCAACAAAATTGGCAAAATTATTATTTTCTCTTCCAAGCTCTTTACAAACAACTGTCAGAATCACGTAAAGCACAGCTTGTCCTTTCTATTAGTTATAAAATGACCCTTAAGAAAAGTAGGTGGAACTGAAAAGTAGGAAAGAATGGAGTAGGAGGAGGAGCCACTTCAGTTGATTTGCTAGATACATTGATTTCTCAGCAAATCAAAGTAACAGGAGGTTCTAAATTTATATTCTAGCTTACCAGTATCTAAAATTCACGTTTCTAGTTTGTTAACCACTTGTAGATGTATATAGTAGGCATAAAAAAATTTAAGCTAAGCAGCGAGACATGAGGAGGTGCTATGTGACACACAGAAATCGATATTTAGCTTTATTTTATTTATATTTTCTTTTGAATTAAGAAATTAAAACATACGTAATATTAAAATTTGAAATATAAATATGTTTTTATTCCAATTTCATTGATATATAGTAATAATAAAGTTACTTAATAAAGTTTTGAAAATAAATCACTAAAAGACTGTGACGTGCAGTTAGACCCACTCGTTGCAAAAGGGTTAAGAGTTTGATCAACCATTACACCAAGATCCCTTTCTTTCATGGCACTGTTAAGGTTATTCCCATCAAAATTATACTCATAATTTAAATTATGATAACTCAAATGCATTATCTTACATTTATTATAATTAAAACCCATCTGCCATTTATTTGCCCAACTCACTGAATGATCTAAATTCTTTTATAAAGTAGCAGCATTCTCTTACAGTTAGCAACACCCAAGACCTTAATATCATCAGCAAATTTAAATAATTTATTGACCATTCCTTCATTATAGGATGATTTTTTTTCCTTAATTCCATCAATACAGTGGAAAGTTGATATTTGTTATAAGTCCATATCATAAAATAAACAACAAGTAACCAGATATGCTGCCTGACTTGTGGAAAGAGAAAATTTTGCAGAGTTAAATAAAATTGTAAGATATTTTTGTAGGTTTTAGAAATTTTCAGAAAAATATCCTATGCTATGCTTTCAACACAATGTATTTTGTAAATTACATTTTATAATTCATATGCTTTTTTAAAGAAAGGGATTGACCTTTATCACACATTTCTTAGTTTTCAAATTTCTTGCTTACTTTTTGGGAATAATTAATTGAGAATATTTGTTTGTTTAACAATTTATCGATTTAAAAAGTTCAGATAATTTTTTTCATCCACATCTTCAAATTTCACATTTCTGTTCTTTAGTACTATTTTCAGTTCATTTTACAATATTATAGTTCAAGTAATGATATTCTGATTAATTATGTAATTGGTTAGCAATTTATCAGCTACCATTAAATAACTGAATTTTAAAGCTTTTTGTAAATAAATTTCCAAGACAATTTACTGACTGAAGTCATACTTAGTTTATTGTTATTGTTTCTGCACTGCCTAAAGATAGTCACAGTGTTTATATGTTTCTCACTCAAATGCATTTTCCTTGTCATAATTATTAAAATGTTCAAATCTAAGTTTAAATTGATGCCTTCCATCCAATAGTTTTGTAGGTTCCACATGTTTTTTACAAAAGTATCATCTAAATCCAGTATACTTGTATGAACATTTTGAAAAATTTGTATATATAAATACATCTGAATGAAGATATATTCTTTTTTAAGGTATAGGAGAGTGGCATTAAAAAAATTCTTCCTTGTTCTAATGAACTAAATGTAAACAAGGCTATTTAAGTACTTTAACAGTTACTTGTTTAATATAAATATGTAAATACTCATGTGAAGTTGAACATTGTTCTGATCTCTGAATTGTTATCTAAGCCTTTCTTCTATATTTAGGAGCTGTAAAAATAACCCCTGCTCATGATCATAATGATTATGAAGTAGGTAAAAGACATAATCTTCCCATGGTGAATATGATGGATGATGCTGGTAATATCTGTGGAGATTGTGGTGTTTTTACTGTAGGTATCACTTTATAAGTTATTTAATGTTAATGTGAATTATAGTCTTTATAAGAGGTTACTCTACACATAGTTTGTTAATACTTGTGGTTAGTAATTGCTGATTCTGTACATAAATTGTTTGATGAATCTCTTAAGTAAGATTTTTTTCATAATGTTGAAGTTAAACAATGTTACAAACACCATCCTCTTGGATAATTTGTTACCTCTGCCACTGTAGGCGATGGAGGTTATGTTTTCACCACTGTGTGTTTGTGTGTTTATCATCAAGATTTCTTGAAAAGGGCTTAATGGATTTACATGAAAGTTGGTGTACATTTGGACTATGACACATCTTAGAAGTTATTAGTGTTTGGAGGGTTAAGATCAAAGGTCAAAGTCACAGCAAGGTCATAAAAAGAAAATCCCTATCTGTTAACATGGGGGACCAATTTTTCACTTTATTTTTGATCTATAACTCAGTAAAAAATTATTGGATTTTGATGAAATTTGGTGGACATATGTAGAATATTATTCTTTATTGTCCTGCCAAAAATGATTTGTGTCTGTTGATAACGATGGACATAAGGACATATTTTTGTATATTTTGTGGGCTGAATATGATCAATGTGTGTCCATCTAGTTTATTAAAGTGATGCTTAAAATTAAGAGTAATATAACATATTCATTGGTGTTTTTACTCTTTGAACTAATCAAACTTCTACATGATCTTATTTTGTATCATTTTTTTCAGGTATTTTGCTAGTTTTGTTTTGGTTGCTCTATTACATAATAATCAATTGCATTGAAGAACATTCATAGTTAATTTCCTATGTGTGCTTTTACAAAAAAAAATCACCACCGTAAGAGAAAGCTGTAAACATGTTAGTTCATCTATATTCTTGTATCTCTCTGTATGACTGAAAAACCCATTATCTTGTTGCAGCTACTTGTTAGATAAATAACAAAACAAGAGTTATTAATGGCACATCTTTGTTGTTGGCATATAACAAACATGGTAGCAGATAACTTGTTTCTTGATCCAAGTTTGAAATAGACCACATATACTGTTATTCATTTTTGCTCAGTGAACTCTTTGACTATGGGCTGGGTGGAATCTAACTGGGTTGACTGTCCAACATGCAAAGTAATTTTGATTTTAAGCCTAAGAATATTTATGTATCAGAAAATTGTCATATTTCATTTGTGCAATCTCTATATCCTCCAGATAACTATCAGTATTTTTTTAGAAATATTTTATATCTTATCCATTATTTTCTGTATCTTATCTCATTACAGGTTTGTTTGAATTGACCAACTTTGTAACCACCACAAAAATTAGGAAATAGATCTAAGTTGTGTTTTTTCATTCTAGAATGACTACAAATTGTAACAGGAAACCACAAATGTTTATTCTAAGTAGCTTAAATCTTGTAACATTATACATCTATTTATATTTATTATTTTATTGACCTTTCAATCATGTCTGACTAACGTTACAGAAATTGTAATCATGATTGTGCACATGTAGCTGATGTTACTGTATTTAATAGCATAAAATTTTCCTTTACAAAGTGTAACTATCTTAGCTTGTTCCAGTGGACCACTACTTTGTAACATACAATCACATTTCAGTTATAATACATTACATATGTATATATATACATTATTACTATTTACAAGTAAATTCTTAAATTTTGGTTATTTTTTAAACATAGAAGATTAAATAAAGAAATATAGAAAACAACGATCTCTACTACTTACAGTTGTTACAAAGTTTGTACTGTCTTGCCGTACCTTGCATACTAAGTCTTGTTGAATTTCACACATGGAGGATGTAAAACAAAATAATTTTTTTTACGTTTTTATTTGCATTTTGAAATAACAAAGAAATTATAAATTATTATACCAACATCACAGAATACTACTGTAATTTATCAGTATTACTTACTATGCTGTGGGTTACTATCATTGACAAGGAAAGTAACATATTGCTAAAACTTCTTGAATCTGAAACATTTTGTAGATTTAGATTTTCAATACACATCCACAGGTGTGTTGTAAATAATGTAGGACAGTTTAAATGAAATCCATAACATGTGCAATAAAAGTTTTGTAATGATGGTGATTTTTCTTTTCTAAATAAATAGCACAAAATGTTGAGTATTTTCATCAGATACTTCATGTACAAATGGGAAAGTTTTTGTTTTTCAATTTAAATCAACATCTTTATTAGGTATTTTAATATTATTTCTGTGTTTTCAGGGTATGAAAAGATTTGAAGCTAGAAAAGCAGTAATTGAGGCCTTGAAGGAAAAAGGATTGTATCGAGATACAAAAGACAATCCCATGGTTGTTCCTATATGCAAGTAAGTGATCAGCTAGTTTTTAAAAAATTCCAAAGGAATAAAGAAAAGCAAAATAACTTAAACCATATATAATAATGTACAAGAAAAGAAAAGTATTTTGAAGTGAAAATTAATTATAGCCCAATTGCTTGATGATTAGGTTTTTCAACTGTAATTAGCCAAAAGAAAAGAAAAAAAGCATCATATGGTCTGTATTGATGAAATTTGGATGAATGGACAGCAACTGCCTGTTGTAGAAACAAGTATAAAGGACAACATTTCAAAAGTTATTTGCCTTTCATATTCAGATCTGTGTGTGTGTGTTGTTGTTGGTCTTTATAGTGTTCTGGTAGATTGTGGAGGACATTTTATGATTGGTTGGTTTATCCCTGTTTCTGAAGACTTTCAAAACGTCATCCTCTATACTTGTGTTTGTAAAACAAGCAGTTGATATCCATTCAACCAAATTTTATCATGAATTATCCCCCTAATAAAGTGATTCATTATTCAAAAAATATTTTTACTATAACTTTTACAACATGAGCCAAAACATTAACATATTTGGTTCTCTGGTATAAGATTTTCCAAAGAAATTATTATATACTGTTTATTTAACCCTATAAGACCCAGTTCATTCTTTAACTCTTTCAGCATTGGCTTGATCCCAGGGACCGACCTCATAACCATTTTGTCCTTGTTATAGTTTTCATGCTATAACTTTTAAATTAGTAAACATATCTTCATGAAATTTTGCAGATTATCAATAAACATTACAAGGCTTTCATGCGCAAAATATTAGATTTTTTTAATCAAGTTTTAAGATTTTTTTAATCTCTGTTTTTCTCATGACTTTTTTCTATTCAAATGTTGACTGTCCAACATGCAAAGTAATTTTGATTTTTAAATTTAATATGCTAAATCTTTATAATATCCAAATAATTATCGAATGTTTTTTAAGAAAATATAATATTTTATCTGTTATTTTCACTATCGAATTTCTGTATGGGTTCGGTCGATTTGACCAACATCGTGACTACCATAAAAAATTAAGAAATAGATATAAATTGTGCTGTTTTTGTTTTAGAATGACTACATATTATAACACAAATGTTTAGTCAGAATAGCCTAAATCTCATATCATTGTAAATTTATGTATATTTATTATTTTTATTATATTGACCTTTCAGTCGTGCCTGGCTAACATTAGATAAGTTGCAATGATGCAGCTCACACATGCTCATGTTACCATATCCAAGAATATAAAACTGGCCTTTACAAAGTGACCTGTTGTGGCTGTGTTTTAGTGGACTAGTATTTTGTAAAATACAGTCACATTTCAGTTATAATACATTATATATGTATATACATTATTATTATTTAGAAATAAGTTCTTAAACTTGTTTTTCTTAAAACATAGAACAGTAAATAAAGAAGTATAGGAAACAATTATATCTCTTCTTCTAATTATGAACTTTGTACTCGCTTGCTGTAGGTTGCTAAGCCTTAGCAAATTTTGCATGTGGAGGATGTGAAACAAAAGAATTTTTTTTTAGGTTTTATATATACATTTTGAAATAACCAAAAATCATAGAACTCAACTATAATGTATCAAGCTTAGTAACTAAGCTGTATTTGGGTCTAAAAAATATGAAATTTAGAGCTCCTTATAGTCTTACCTTACAGCTTAGAATTTAGCATAAAAAGAAAGAGTTTGATGTCCAAATATTTCAAAAAGACTGAGAAAGCCTCTAGGGTGACATTCTGAGCTTTCAATTGGTTATTAATTTGTCATATACAGAAGTATGTTTATGTGAGCATTTCCAAAAATGGAAAGTGGGTGGGACCACTGTGTTTGAGTCAGTAAATGTAGTGATATTCAGGAGATAGAAACATAGGAGATTCTTATTTTATATTCTAGCTTGTCAATATCAGTAATTTGAGTTCCTAATTCATAAGAAACTATAGACTCTGTGTTTTTGGACATCACGAACATGTCATTTGAACCAGTGCTGCATAAAATACCACATGACACAAAAATTGATATGTAGGTGTGTTTTTTAATACTTACTTTTAAATTAAGAAATTAACTATTGTATAATACTAAAATTTGAATTATAATCTACAACTTGATACCAATGTTATTGACATAAATTCATAGAATAGTAATTGAATAAAATTTTGAATATGAGTCCAAAATGAGATGACGTGGCTTTTAATCCGTGACTCGTGTCAATGTGGTTAAATTCCTTTCTGTGCGCAAAGCGTTATTGAGTTACATTCAAAATTTAATTAAACCACTTTACTATCAATGTATTTTAATAAAATGTGCATTATTAAGTATGTTATAATTCAAAGTTTTATATTATCTGAGTTTTATTCCTTTATTTTAAAAGAAACTTTTAAAACAGTGATTAAAACTTCAGTTTTGTGGTCACTTGACATGCTCCTGATTAAGAATACCTTACCTTTTGTTTCTTCTGTTGCAGCTCTACTGTGTGTAATATAGATGTTTTTGTGTAGGTGATTAAAGTACACGTATATAGTTTGTTTACCAGTAACTTGCATCAGATTGCAAGAACTTGCCTCAGAGGAAACAATTGTGAAAGTTCTCAAGTTCAAAGATAAGCCATGCCCACTTTCAAAAGTAAACTGGAATTGCTAAGTGACAATTTTAACTTGAATAGCATACTCTTAACAGATTTCTCACTAATGTCTCAAGCTCAGCAGGAAACGTGATTTTTAGATTTCAGTTACTTTTATAATAATAAAGAAAGAATAAATATGATAAACAAGATATAAAATACTTAACTAATCTTTTCTTCTTGCCATCGGGTTTCGAAGAGAGTTAACCTTAACTTTTCATAGTACCAATAGTAATGCATTTAATAATGTTTATTTAATTAAATAATGCACCAAAAAATATAAATTAATAACATGCAAAAAGTAGACAAATCTCCTTACCTCTCAAATTTTTTCTGGCTTTCTAACTATGCGACAAGTGACATTACAAATTCATCCAAGCTAGTCTTTAACTTTCTCACAGGAACAGAGCTTGTACTGTGAGTGAAATTGATATTTTCCTGTTCAGAAGACAGCATTATACAATACGTCACTTGATAGATTAAAAACCTTGACAATACATTAATTATCAGAGAAACATTACAAATCATGAAGTATAAAAAAAACAACAAGAAGAAGTATTAAATATAAACAAAAGACCAGCAAGTCAATATGTTTATATATGGCGAGATATATTGTAATAATTATAAAAAATAATAATAATAAAAAGTAGACCAAGGAAATATGTAAATAATAGTGAAGCAATGTGAAAAGGGGTAAGAGTATAAAATATGGCTTGTAGGTGTCTTGTAAGTAACTCCTGAAGATGTTGTAGATCATGTCAAACTAGTACTTGCAAAGTGTTGTTTTAAAGTGGAAGCCATACGACTTCAATAAAGTTTTGATTGTATAAATAGTAAACATTGTTTTTAATTATTTATTCATTATAATTTTAAACATTACACAAGTGCCAATAATTCATAGACTTGCTGAAAAGCATTTTGGATGGTAACAAAAATCATAATTCTTCTTTAAGTAGTTGATGTCAATGTTATAATTTTTGCAAGATGTATTTCTGAACATGAATAGGGTTACTTTAAACAGGTTTATTTCAAAGTAGTATAAAACTGACTCAACATTTTGTCATTTTATAGCTATGGTGTACAAAAATGTTCATAAATCCTTCAAAGTTGAAAATTAAAAATGCTCTAAAATTGTTTTTTAACTTTTTAGTCGATCTAAAGATGTAGTGGAGCCACTTTTGAAGGTCCAATGGTATGTTAACTGCACAGAGATGGCTCAGAACGCAGCACAAGTAAGAAAATTTAATATTTTTTGTTCACTACTTGCAAATAATCATCTTATTAATAGCTATTCAATGTATAAAACCAATAAAAATGCATGAGGCACAGTATATTTAAAGCATTTCTGATAACATCAACCTGTTATAAAATATGTTCTAGTTTTCCCTTTTCCAACCAAGTATCTTTAACTCCTTTCTTGTAGTGTCCCTTTTCTGAGCATTGTAGATATTACTTAGTTACATTTAAAAGTTAATTAAGCTATTTTATTATCAGTGTTTGTTAATAAAATCAGCATTCAAATTTATATTATAGTTCAAAGTTTTATATTATCTAAGTTTTAATTCCTTTATTTCAGAAGAAACCTTAAAGAAAAATTCGTAATTTTTTTTTTATTCTCTCGTGGTCCACAAGTTCATAAAATGTTAAATTTGTGTCTTTGTAGTTTGAATAGTACTTGACTCACACTAACCTTCCATATATATGAAGAATCTATGTTAATTGCTCTGTTTACATATTCTTCTTTCAAGTTCTGTAGGGCACTTTCAGAGAAAGGAGAAATAAATTTCTCTGAACTCTTAACAGATGCCAGCCCACTTTCTACACATAGTTGCAATTTCTCAGCCAATTATAATTAGTTGAGCTAGATGTTTATAACCAATGGAAAGAGTGAATTTTGAAGTACGTTCTCTTAACTGTTATTTTAAAATTGGTACGGAGATTTAAAATAGAGAACTAATCAAACCACTCTTAGCAATTTTTTTGGTATTGTTGCTGCTTTATCCCTGCCACTTTAGCATTATTTCTCACCTAGAAATATGTTAGTTAGATAGACAGTTGCATTTTATTTAGGTTTTAGTTTTATATTTTAATTATGTGTTATTTATGTCTTAAGATTCATATTTGAAAGGTTTAATAATTTGTTTTTCTATGAAAACCAATGCCTACTCAGTTCACAAAGGATAGTGTAATATGTGAACACTACCGTGTTCTGCTAAGGGGTAAAGTTTCTCTGCCCACTATAAGGTAATATTGGCTGGGGATGCCTGTTGACTTATGTTGCAATAAATAACAGTGCTAAAGGACAGGAGAGGATAATAAATTATATGTGAAAATGTAAAGACATGCAAAAAAAATAGATGTTTTAAAACTTTCAAGAAACATTAAGAGGCGTGTACTTTTTTTTTTGTCTTAATTTTAAACATTTCATTGTAATGTACTATAGACTATGCAGTACAAGTTCACAATAATAGCTAGTTAGTAATATCACAGAGAAAGTGAAAAAAAAATTTATATATATATAGATAGATAGATATATAAATCTAACTTAAAAAGAAAGTTTGATATTCACATTGTTTGGAGGTTCTAGAGGTTATGCAAATGACATTTGAAACCTGTGAGTTGACAAAAAGGATTTTTTTTTATCCGTGCTGTTTTGTTGGTTATGTGAGAGGCTACTTGGATATGCTCCTGTAAACTTAAGAGTTAATAAGGGCAAATGACTCTCCTCTCAAATAACCTACAAAAAATATATATAATAATGGCTGGAGACGGCTTAAATGGGTAATGAAGAAAAACTTTAATATAAGTTTAACATGACAGCAAATGTACAACGTTTCGACAAGGTTTTGTCATCATCAGGTACAAAAATATATATATCCAAAATGTACAGATTAAGAATTTTGTTTTAATACATGTGTTATTAACATTTATTTTGGATAAAGTAATACAAAATCTAAATTACCACACCTGTCTTTGGTGTTTGCTTCCTACCTCCCCCCCCCCCAGTGGCACAGTGATATGTCTGCGGACTTACAATGCTACAATCCGGGTTTTGATATCCGTGGCGGGCAGAGCACAGATAGCCCATTGTGTAGCCTTGTGCTTAATTACAAACAAACAAGCTTCCTACCTTCAGTTATAATTTCTGTATGAAGAGTAGAAGTATCTAAACTTTTTACATGCAAAGATAAAACCTGTCAACATACAAAACATTGCTGCAAATCTTTGGCTTTTCTACATATTTGTTGCTTATTTGTAGCTGAAATAGTTTGAAAACCGTGATTCTTTTTAAGTTTATTTCAAAAACTAAAATTCAGTTGACTACATTTATATTTTACAGCTGCTGAACTCCTAAAGCTAAGAAAGTCAGAAGTATATCATCTTAAAGCTAAGATTATTTTCATACTTGCAATCTATTTGTTGCAGAGGTTTTTCTTCCTTACACAGATGGTTAATTTGTGAACTTTTAATTATTACATCAGAAGCCTTTCTTGGCACATGCCTTCAAATAACTTTCCATATTTTATATCTTTTATATGCTCTGTAAAGATAAATTAATATTATTGGTTGCCATATATTTTTTTTATCATTGATGTAATTACTTTTACAGTTATGTTTTGCTTTACAAAAATTTCTGCTTGTAATTTGAAAGTGCAAAGGCTTAGAGATTGCAGTCATTTTGAAACAGCTCTACTTTGTTTTTAAAAGGAATACAAAAGTAACTTCATAAATAAAAATAACATTTCTTTATATTAGCTGTATTGATATATACAAAATATTTTATTGTCAGTAATTTCCATGAAATGGGCTAGTGTATTATATATTTAGACATGCTATGAATTTCAAAAGAAGACCTAAAACTTGAGTGCAGAATAATAGTTGACTATTATTCTTCAGGAGAACAAAGTGTGATGATTAATGAGTGCAGTTTAATATTTAGGTACAGATGTCAGTGTCACGTGCCCCCCAGTGGCACAGCTGTATGTCTGCGGACTTACAACACAAGAATCCGGGTTTCGATACCCGTGGTGGGCTGAGCACAGACAGCCCATTGTGTAGCTTTGTGCTTAATTACAAACAACAACAACAATGCCACGTAAGCTGAATATTCCAGATGAGTTGACCATGGAGACTAGTCAAACGTAACTGGAAACTCTGGTGTCAGTTTTAGTTTGTACAAAAGATATGTGGATATTAAATGAAAGATGTAAAGAGTGGTAGCAGTTAAAAAATGTTAAAACAGTTTTTATAGGATAGAAAAATAAAGAACAAAAAAGGGGGATGGAAATTAGAGAAAATGATAATGATAAGCGATATATAGGAAATAATATTATAGAGAAATTAAAACATAAATAAAATAAAAATATGGATAATATTGATAGTGCAAAATAAATTTAATTACATATTTATTTTTAGATTTGTTAGGGAAGTACGAAGGCCAACAATCCTGGGATTGAAATTGATGCCATTCGGTGTTACAATGTTGAACAGTGCCATGCAATAAGCTTCTTTAATTTCCTTGTTTCTGTCTGATGTAAAATTTGCCTCTGTATCTGTCAGTTTAATGTCTTCAAGAGTGGTGAGGCATGTTATGTTAAAATATAAAGTTTTACTGAAAATAAAAATGTTTGGTATTTAACTATGAGGTTTTTAATTTTTCATTTGTTTTAACTGTTTATTATTATAAAAGTAACTAAAATCATAAAAATAGAAAATTGTTAGGCAAGATAATGAAAGAAAAATAATAAAAAACCTTCATGGAGTATATGTACCAGAAGCTTCTTTATTACGCTGTTCAATAGGGTCATGTCGATGCACATGTGCCATGTAATTTTCAACTTCTGTCTGGATATTTTTAGTCAGACACGGTTCAAAGGTCAATAAAACAAAAATTAATAAATATAAATATATTTATAATGTTAAGAGATTTAAGCTATTTAGTATAAACATTTGTAGTTTCCTATTACAATTTGCAGTTATTCTAGAACAAAATAGTAATTTCATTTATTTCCTAATTTTTATGATGGTTACGAGGTTGGTCAAATTCATCAACACCATATAGAGTTAATATTGATAAAATAACAGATTAAATATAAAATTTTGTTTAAAAAAATGTTTGATTATCTAGAAGGATATAGAAATTATGCAAATGAAACTTGACAAATTTCAGATAAAGAAAAGTGTTTTTAATTTTTAAATCAAAATTACTTTGTACATTGGATAGTCAACATTCTGAAAGAAAAACTTTAGGAGCAAATCTTTAATAAGAAAAAATCATAAAACATAATTCAAAAACCTGATATTTTGTGTATGAAATCCTTGTAATGTTTACTAATAATCTGCATCATTTTGTAGTAAGACTTACATACATTTTCAAAAATTATAATACAATTACTCTCATAGATACTTTCCTGGTAGGAGCTGGGTGGAATCCACCTAGCCTGTAATGGAAGGATTAATCAATGGAATAATTGGGATTGATAATGACATAACAAGGAGTAACAAAGCTCCAGTCATGGTAAATAGGCTTTTACATATCTGCTGAAGATCTATAGGGCTCTATTCTGAAAAACAAATGTAATAATGGGCAAAGAAGGCTTGCATATAAAACTCATTGGTTACATAAGAAGTATTGTCATTAACTAAGGGATTGTGTTGATGATGTGGCCAATCATAACCACAATTTTTTATCCAATTTAGAAATTATAAAATGTAATTATCATGTCTCGTCATATGCTACACCCTATATAATTTTCACCCAAATCCTCAAGACAGTAAGCATTATTCTGTGTGTTTTGGAAGCTAGTTTTACTTTCACGAACTTCTCAGTGCTATCTATGACAAACAAGATAATTCATCTTAGCAAAAATTGATTATGTGTAATAGTATTTTTTATAAAAATCAAGTTCTTTTGTCAGTTTTTTTTTCTACTGACGTAAATGATTTTTTTTTCAGGCTGTTCGAGATGGTGAATTGAAGATAATTCCTGAGATACATGTGAAAACATGGTACCACTGGTTAGAGAATATCAGGTTTGTGTTTTGTAAAATAATGTGTGTGTATATACACACACACACACACACACACACACACACACACATACATACATACATACAGGATATGGTGAAAGGTGCTATACGATTCGACCAGTTGGTGTTTAAAATATGGCTGGTACTAAAGAAAGTATTATGTATATAATATAATACTAGTGTTCAATGTCACCCTATAGTTTCTTAATTTTCCATATTTCTCTTTTTCTCATATTCTTAATGCAAGTTCCACTAGTATGATTTTTTAATGAGGATCAAGAGAAATAATGAATAAATGCACTGTTAATATTGAAACAGATTAACTCTTTCAGCACGGGCTCGGTCTCTAGGATCGACCTTGTAGCCATTTTGTGCTTGTTATAGTTTTCATGCTATAACTTTTAAATTAATAAGCAAATGTTAATGAGATTTGGCAGTTTATCAGTAAACATTACAATGCTTTCATATGCAAAATATCTAATTTTTTTATTAAGTCTTAAGGTTTATAAAGCAATGTTTTTCTCATTTCTATTTTTTTCTTTTCGCATGTTACCTATCTATCATGCAAAGTGATATTCAATTTAAGATAAAAAATACATTTATGCATCAGAAAATTTTGAAATTTAACATGCGATATCTTTATAATGTCCAGAT